ACCTGCTATTAATATCAAATATCAGCTTAGGTCTCTACTTAAAAATGAGAAACATGGTGTACAAATCACAGTAAAAAGTCCCTTTTAATTTACATTATTATAAAAAAAATAAAATAGTGCTGGAAAATATAGTTAAAAAAAAAAAAATCAGGGACACCGGAAATTCCTATAAAGAGCATTTCTCTCAACAATGACCTGCTATTAAGATCAAATACAGTTTAATGTGTGTTCTTACGTGTGCAAAGCTCAGGAAAAAGAGCTGGTTGTTATTTAGTGAAACTCCTGGCAGGAGGGGTTCCTCCACACCACCTCTGCTCTCATCCACCCACCGCCTGTACGCCTACAGACAAAAAAAACACATTATTAAGACGTTTTTCTCCCCTAGGTAATTTGAATTAGGGATGTCCCGATCCAGTTTTTTACACTACCGATCCGATCCCGGCCTATCAGAGCATGGATTAAGGTTTAAAGTTATTTATTCTACTTATTTAGTTTCACAAACTCATGTTGAACAGGGATTTACTCTGATAACAACTTAATGGTTAAGACACAGACCTGTGGGCTAGCAGATGCTAATGCTAATGCTTGTGTGGGATCGAAAACTGGTGATACCGATCCCGGCCTATCAGAGCACGTTTTAAATTTTAAAGTTATTTATCTACTTACTTAGTTGTCAGACTGATGTTGAACGGGGATTTACTCTGATAACAACTTAATGGTTAGGACACAGACCAGTGGGTTAGGACATGCTAATGCTAATGCTAATGTGGGATCGAAAACTAACGATACCGATCCTGGCCTATCAGAGCATGTGTTAGAGTCTAAAGTTATTTATCTACTTACTTAGTTGGCAGACTCATGTTGAACAGGGATTTACTCTGATAAAAACTTAATGGTTAGGACACAGACCTGTGAGTTAGCAGATGCTAATGCTAATGCTAATGCTAGTGTGGGATCGGACTTTAAAATAAAAAATGGATCTGGAGTCTGGATCTGCTTTCTCTCCTGTCGGCTGATGCCCATTTTTTTTTGCAAATATCGGGTTAGGGTTAGGGTTAGGGTTAATATCGGATCCTGGCCTAGTCCTGCTGCTAATCTGTGGCCTTTCTGGATCGGGAAGTCCCCATCCAGCTTTTTCAACTTCCGATCCGATCCCGATCCCGGCCTATCAGAGCATGTGTTAAAGTCTAAAGTTATTTATCTACTTATTAGTTGTCAGACTCATGTTGAACAGGGATTTACTCTGATAACAACTTAATGGTTAGGACACAGACCTGTGGGTTAGGAGATGCTAATGCTAATGCTAATGCTAATGCTCGTGTGGGATCGGACTTTAAAATAAAAACTGGATCTGGAGTCTGGATCTGCATTTTCTCAATTTTTTGGGGAATATCGGCAGCCGATCTGATCCAGATATCGGATTAAGACAAGCCTAATGTGGATAATAATTCATACCCTGAATGCTTCTCTTATTCCCCCGTTGTCTGCTATGTTTTCTGCCAGGGTCCTCTTCCCGCGAACCTACAAAGCAACACACGCACAAATTACAACATTTTCACAATCCGTTGCTCTATTTTACTCACAAAAGAGGCTTTAACTACACTGGAAAGATCTTATACTAAACCAGTGTTTTTCAACCTTTTTTGAACCAAGGTACAGTTTTTCATTGAAAAAATCTCGAGATACACCACCAACCAAAAATGTCAAACAAATCTGTAGCCGCCTATAGTAACACTATAGTTATTCTTATTTTATTCTTATCTTATCTTAAGTGTCTTGAATAGGAATCAAATAAACAAAAATGTATTTTTATCATATTTTATATTTCTTCTTTCAAATTGCACTTAACATGTCCACTTCAATATACAAAATTATATCCAAAATCTAGTCATAAGGAATTATTACATGATTACGCCACCAGTCACTAGTACAGCACAGACACTCAAAAATGGCATATTATTTGCAGATAATTAATTCCTTATCAAAAAGTCTTTTTAGACCAATTAGGTGAAATAGGATGATTTTCTACGGCACACCTGACCATCACTCGCGGCACACTAGTGGTTGAAAAACACTGTACTAAACCATGTTGTTTAAAAATATTGATTCCTGTAATCTTGTGCTTATTGTGAATCGTTTTCTTACGTGGAGTCCAGCTTCGCTCCAGTGGTAACCGTTGTACTGGTCAATCATACACTGAGTTTTCTCGTTAAAGGCCGTTACTGAAGACTCGCTCCACCACTGGTCCAGATTCCCGTTTTTGTCATATTTGCGACCTATTGAATACAATAATACAGAATAAATCATAATAATAAATGAGACATAGTTTGCTCTCCAAATTGCTTATTTGTATGTAGAAATACACATGTACATTTGTACCACACTATTATTTCTGAAAATATAATAAAAATTTTGTTCAAAATGCTCATTTGTCTCCAAGTCCCGTACCGTTATTGTCAAAGCCGTGTGTTAATTCATGTCCAACTATCACCCCAATGGCGCCGTAACTCAAAGATCTGAAAAATACAGAAAAGAAAAGGATTATTAGCAGTCGGATTAGCAAGCAGTTAGCTATTAAGGAGCTTTTTCCTTAATAACTCTTAGTTAGAACATGTTAACCATCAGAAATCCTGTTTCCCGTCTTTTAAATTTATCATTTCCATTGCTTCCAGTGCAATTTAAAGTTGGTTTAAAGACATTTTAAAGACTTTCTCTGAGAACTTTTAGTCCATCTGGTTTAAAGTGACTTGGAAAAAAAATGCCCAAAGCAAAAACTAACTTGAAGATGGAAAACCACTAAAGTTATTAGAATGAGGCCAAGCTGGTAGCAAGATATAAAGACTTTTGTGTATGATTTTGAGTATGAAATACCCTATTGAGCATTTATCAGAAGATAATTAGACGTAGTGACCAAATGGCCGATATTTGAACATCTAAAACCATGTCTGAAAAACTTAAATCACCTATGAAACATATTTCTCTTCACAATTTAGCTTCAGATTTTGTGGAGCCACATATATATAATATTTCACATTGATTTCTCCTCACCGTGGATACTCTTTTCCCCAGAAGAAGGGTTTCTGAAGCTCTCCAGCAGGGAAGCCTGTAAAAAAAAAAAAAAAAAATCAAGCTGTTAATTGTATTTTTATTTTTCATGAGTCTGTAGCTCTGTTCTCCCAGCCAAACGTTTTTATTTAAATCTTTTTTAAGTTACGGAAACACAGTTAGATGTTAACATAAAGCATGACTTTGCAGATGTAATGGCCATTAAACACACAAACACACTTCCCAAAGATTGACCGTGAATCTTACGGATTTGGTTTGTGGATGAACTGTAGAAGGCATTCACAGTAGTTGGGTTTGTAAACCATCTGAATGGGAAATAAAAAAAATAAAACATAAAACACCCGATGAAACACGTCAGTGAGGATGTCAAACAGAAGAATAACAATGATGAAGTGAGGACAGAAGCAAATGGCCGTCCTAAAAGGAGCCAAAATAGACTAAATGACCTTTTCTAATCCATTTATCATGTTTATGTTATTGAACTGGAGTTTTAGAAAAGAAGAACATGACAGCAAAGACTAAAGGTCAGTAAAATACATCATAAATACGTTTAGAAATACAATTAAACTTTGTTCTGTCTATTCTTTTTATCTCTTTTAAATTTCCCAGTTATAGCCCTCCTCCTTCATCTGGGCTAGGAACCAGCTAAAGAGGAAAAGAAAAGAAAAGGAAAAACTGGGAAACTATTTGAAAACCAAGGAAATTGATGGATTGTGACGGGGTTTTTTTTTTAACAAATGTAATTATTTGATTGGTAACCTGTTGGTCATTCAGAAGACTTCATGTCTTCGACTCTTCTTCCTCTTTTCTGCC